GTGCTCTTCTGGATCAAAACAGAGTGCTCATTCCTTGAATTAAGCCCCAACTATGCCACATTTATTACATTTCTGATAGCACCATCTCATTATGACATTCCATTGTTTTCAAGGATGATCGCAAGACATTTCAAAGCACAGATCCATAAAGATATTGCTGTGCTTTAAATTAATCCTCTTCATTACCTGTCTCAAATTTCCTATTTTATTTTTCCCATGAAAAACATATTTAGCTAATCTCTCCTTCCCTTTCATGCCAAAAATAATTTCCCACGTCTTAAAATGTGCCCTCAAGAGGACTTGTTCAGGTTGCATTTTTCAAATTAGCCATTAGATGACTAGATGCCAAAGTTTTACTAGCACAGCTTCCTGAGAGCATTATTGAAGGCTTCCTGGTTTGGGAATTGCATTTCACCCATGCCCTCAAAGGAGCTTATATAATGCTTCATTGTATTGGGAGGGAGGATATGCCACGGGAGGGAGTGAAGAGCTATTTTGTTTGGTTGTCTTTTTATTGAATACAGAAGGATTATGTGCAGATTTCCACTTTACCAGAAGAGGTTCTTAAGCTACTTTAGATACACATGTATAAAGAACTGCTGGAAATAAGCAAAGCTCAGAAAATGTTGAAAGAAAGAGAAAAAGAGAAAAAGAGAGAGAGAAAGCACACGCCTTAACATGAGAGCTGAAGCCATGATCAATATGCCAATCTCAAGCTGATTTCACTTTCAGCCTCACTTCATGAGCTGTAAGTGCTAACATATGAAAGCAGGATCTTCTATAGAGAAACTAACACAGGCAAGGAAGACTGCTGTATTATAGATCATCAGGTGCAGAAACTGTCTTTGTCAAGTGTCAGTATTTTAATTTGCTTTGGTTTTATATAGTATAATTTGTGAATTAGGTGTTCAAGATAGTGAAGCAAACAACATTACATTGAGCCAGGCTTAGCAAAACCAGCACAGTGTAATCTTCTCCATGCGCACCTTTGCTAAACCTCTTTGATCCTGACCAAGTAATTTAAGGCCAATTTTTATTCAACTGCCAGTTTTGTTAAATTCCATCAAACAGTGTTTGGGGAAGGAGAAAGGGGCCAGGAGTTGTGCACAAATGAGAACTGAGCTCCGCAAGTTTCCTATAGTCAGATATTTGGCTATATATTATATTTTCAAGGAATGTCAAATGCTATGCCTTGTATGCTGCACACCTGATGTAATTAGAAGTAAAATTGGAGCATGGGAGGAGGACTATTTCAATTTCCTTCATTTTTTTAATACCAAACGCCAGTCAACCTAAACCTTTAGGGGAGTTTTTCAAAGTCACAAATGACAGTGAGGTTCCTAACTCCCATTGGCTTTCAGTGGCAGTTAGGAACTCAACTGCCATTTGTGCTTTTGAAAGCTTTCTCTTTAATCTACTGCAGCTGTGAGGCAGAGAGAAATCCCTAGCTCTTGTTGAATTGTTTGATATCTCCCTACAAACAGCAATGAACAACTTCTGACAAGTTAACTGGAGCAATAAGGTGTACAAAATTCACGTTACTTTGCACTGGCTGGGAAGGAGAAGATAACAGGCATTGCCAATGAAGCTCCTTAGCTCGAGTAATACGTCTAGGCTTCTCTTTCCCCCCATACCAACGTTTACTTTATTACTGTGGTTCAAACGACTAAATCAGCCTTTAGTCTTAATGGTAAGAGATAGCATGGCCTACTTTCCAGAGATGTGATGTTATGAATGTTTTAGGGGTTTATGGACCTTCCACAAAGGAACATGCATTCTTATCAGTCTTAAGAAACACAAATAAGTAGGAACATGTTTTGTGAAACTAAAGCCCTGGTCACTGTACTACATTCCTTCTAAACCTCTTCAAACTCTTCTTCTGTGCAGTTGGGTTTAGCCAGATAAGCCCTTGCTTTATCAGAGTAAGAGAGCCAGCTACAGAAAGCAAAATACATGGTCTCCCTCCCTTTTCTTATTAGTGCTACTGTGGTTGTGTAGCTGACTAAAAAAACACTTGATCTTGGTTTATTTCACCCTTTGTGCTCCAGGCTCTCAAAATGCCCACAGCTACATTGTTTAGCATGACCCTGTTATGCTTGGAAGATTAACAGCCACTGGATGGTGTCACCTGACAGAATGCCCTCACTTTGGCCACTTCACCAGCCTGCTTGCTGTACTTGAGGGCTACAGGAGTATTGCTATGCTGGATGCGTATTGGATGCCCTAGGGCACTCAAGGGATTAATGAGTAGTTTTGTAGCCAGCCCAGCCCAGGAATCCCATGAATAATCAATGGTACTTGAGGCTCCTCAGGTAATTGAATTGCAAACCCAGTAATAACTAGAGATGTATCAGTAGCAGAATTATACCTATGCCTATTTCTAAATGTATGCGATAATGGGGGGGGAGGAACCCACTGGTTGTGAGGACTGTTTACCTACTTCTATTCCTATATTAAAAAAGGAATTTCTATACATTTTTCATTCAGATTAACATGTATCCTGCCTGGCACATAGCTTAAGCAATATTAAGCAATGTGTCAGCAATTCTGTGCCCTCATTGCAAGCAACAGGAAAACATTTAAAATTTACTTTTTTTTTAAAGACTAGATGCCAAAGCACACAATATAAAGTATATCTTACTCATTTTCTCACTTTTGCAGCTGTAAATAACATCATTTGACTTAAAGTTTAAGAAATAGTGAACTTTATTTTTAAATGACTTATTAAAAGTATTCTTTTATTGTCTGAGACAACAGTGCCAAGGGAAGGATGTTTTGTTCATGTCTATCAAGTATGTAGATGCTTTGGGTTGATGACTGAAGTGAGGGATTTGTATTTTTTTTAAAAATCCCCCGGGGCCCCCGCCGAGTCTGCCTATGCTCACAGGCTGCCCCTGCCTCCATCCCTTCTCTTCTCTGGGTGAAGATAGGAGTGGGGGGGGAGGAAGGGCACCCTGACATCAGCCCCCACTCTTCTCCCTCCCACCCCCGGCACAGCAAGCAGGAGGCTCTGGGGGGGGCAGCACCAAGGCAGAGGGTGGAGGACAACTGAAGTGCCAGTACTTGAGAGCTTCCTGGCCCACCAGTCAGGATCCCGTCAGAGGCTCTGAGATCGACTGGTGGATCTCGATCGACTGGCTGGTGACCCCGGGCCCAAGCTCCGAGCCCGTCACGCTGCAGCCACACACACGCTTGAGAGCTTGACTTTGCAACTCGGGTCTCTTGGGTCAGACACCGCAGCACGCTGCTGGAGACGGGAGGGGATCCCAGGAGGGGCATAGGCCCAGGGTCCCACTGCTCTCGTCAGCCCTCAGCGGAGCCGTGGGCTTGCTTTGTGCGCAGGGAGGTGAAAGTGGAGGACCTGAAGGCAGCCTTCTGTGCCACACACACGCTTGAGAGCTTGACTTTGCAACTCGGGTCTCTTGGGTCAGACACCGCAGCACGCTGCTGGAGACGGGAGGGGATCCCAGGAGGGGCATAGGCCCAGGGTCCCACTGCTCTCGTCAGCCCTCAGCGGAGCCGTGGGCTTGCTTTGTGCGCAGGGAGGTGAAAGTGGAGGACCTGAAGGCAGCCTTCTGTGCCATTGACCCTGCGACTCGGAGGAGGGAGAGGCCTAGACTGAGCTGCTCTGGCTCTCCTCTCCCCGCCTGTGCTCAGCTAAATTCTCAGTGTCCACTGCCGGGCGACTGCGGAGTCTGTTCACACGCGGCCTGACAGTAGAACCAGAGGCCAGCGTGGCTGGCAGCAGGCCCGCAAGTGGCCAGTGTAAATAGTTTAATTCCAGTTCCCGGGGGAGCAGGCTTCACGGAGATCCCGGCCTGGGCTGCTCATCCCACCACACCAGCTGGAACCCTGGGCCTGCGGGTCTGGAGGGAAGGCAAGGCCAGGTTCCCAGAACACCCTGCTCTTGGTTTGCCTGGCACAGCTGCGAACCCCGCCTGTCCCGCCTCCCTGGTTTGAAGTCGGGGGAGTTGTCACAAGAGCGAGCCTGCTTGAGGGGGGCTTGGGTGCACGGGGAAGAGACCCTGTGACAGGGCAGGGGCTGAGTGTTACCCGCCCCAGGAACACTGCTGTATTCCCTTGGCAAAGGGGCCGGTAACGTCTCTCCCTTGGGAAGGGGCTTGACAGGACTGTCCCCCCCCCAGGGGCTTATCCCGGTCCAGCTGCACAAGGGAAACTGGACAAGTGGCCCCTGCAGACAAGCCTGAAGGCTCCAGCCCCAAGGGAAAGGGCCAAGAGAGGCTGGTAACTGCTTTGCCCCCCCCCCCCCACATTCCCTTAGCCCGCTGCTGCTGCGACCCCGTTCCCAGAGTGGGGGCCGGAGGGGGGGCCTGACACCTGCTTTGCAGCAGCACAGGGCACCAGGGACAGAACATGAACATGGGGCCCCATTCCTCCTCCTGACCAGAGTTTCTGGGCAGGGCGGGGCGGGGCAGGGCAGGGGAGAGCAGTCCTGCAGCAGCACGCGGCCGGGCAGGGGACGAGCTGGTCCTATTTACCTGTGGTGGTACCAAGTCTAGGTTGAAAAGAGCTGCTGGATCTTCAGAATGTAAATTTCCTCTCCCCCTCGCCTCCAATTACAACCTGAGCACTTGAACGGTCACTCGGTGCCTGAACTCTTGAGTTCATTTCACCCCCAGGCCCCTGGCTAAGCGCCATGCTGCTATGCAGGACGGCTTCTGGCTGGGGGAGGCAGCGCCAGGCAGGTTCTTGGAGTCAGGGCAGCAGTGCGGAGGAGGATGGGGGAAGGCGAGGGCCTTGGGACATGAGGGGCTGCTGGGGGTGGGAGAAGCTGGAAACCCAATTCCTCAGCTGTACTAGCTGGGCAGCCTGGGGGACCTGCTTGTCTGTGCAGCCAGGGTTAAATGCCAACAAAGAGTGCGCCTAAAGCACCTTGGCAGAGCAGCCAGTCAGCTGCTACAAATAACAGGAGCTTGGTGGCGGGGGGCTGGACGCGCCGCGCCTCAGCGGGGACCGGGCTTTCCACAGAAAACAGGTGCTGTGAAACGCGCCTTTTATTGCCATTTCCACGTCCGAAGAGAAGGCAGCTCATCCGCACAGGGTGTGACAGGGCCCAGCACAGGCCAGTCGCTCCCCGCTGTCCCGTTAGGAGACCCGTCAGCGCCAGGGGGCAGCACTCAGCGCACGGGCACACGCGAAGAACCCGCCTGCGATTCGACCCCCTTTAGGCCGGACCCAAAGTTTCTAACGTCCAACCACCGTGGGGCATCAGGGGCGCCGGGAAGCAGCTTCGGCCAGTCCCTGCAGCAGGCGGCACCCACTTACTTGCGAGGGATCACCTTATTGCCACTCATGGCCACGGGAATCAGCAGCTTCCGGTACTCCAGAGGGAGGTGGCGCTCTATCAGCACTCGCAGAGGCATCTTGTCCGTCACCAGCCCTTGTCTTGGGTGGGGGAGGAGAGGGGAAGAGAAAACCAGAGCGTCTGCACCCTGCCCAGATCCGGCCCAGAGCCCCTGGCGCTTGGTCAAAGTGGGCGTTTGATGGGAACTAGCTGCCATGGCCCCCACAGCGGCCTGTACGATGCTAAGGCCAGATGGTCCCCTGCCCATATCTGCAGAACCGGCCTGAGCACTTTGTCCCTCCAGTGGCAGAGGGCAGCACGTGGCTGTCAGCTCCCCCAGGCCGGGGAGGAGATGAACTTTTGTTCTCAGTGAGGAGGCAAGATCCACCCCCGAGCTAGAGCGAAGGAGGTGGGCATCAGACATCACACCACTCACACACAAACAGGACTCCGGCGACAGGCAGGGTTCACACCACTGGCCAGGGACACCCCGTCACCTGATGGGCCCTCAGCTAGCGCACACTGCCCCACAGGGACAGGAACATCCCATCGAGGAGTCTGATCGATCAAACATCGGTTCGTCCAGAGTTTGTCCCATTTTGGGCACAAATGACTGTCACACCCTGCGGAGTCCCTGGAACGGAGTGCGTACGAGGGATGTGCACGAGTAACCAGCTACCCGGTAAGTATCACCCGGATACTTACTGGTGCTTACTGGGTACTGGTTAACTGAGTCTCCAGGAGCAGCCCCCTGCCCAGAGCCCTGCGTGGGCAGGGACCGGAGCCCTGCAGGCTGGGGGGCTGAAGCAGAGAGATCCCACTTAGTTGGTTAACCAGTGAGACATCACCTAGGCTGTGTCTACACTGGGCCACTTATTCCGGAAAATCAGCCGCTTTTCCGGAATAAGCCGCGAGCTGTCTACACTGGCCCTTGAATTTCCAGTAAAACACTGACGATCTACTGTAAGAAATCAGCTGCTTTTCCAGAAAAGCTACGCTGCTCCCGCTCGGGCAAAAGTCCTTTTTCTGGAAAACGGTTCCGGAAAAGGGCCAGTGTAGACAGCCCAGTAGTCTTCCACAAAAAAGCCCCGATCGCGAAAATGACGATCGGGGCTTTTTTCCGGAAAAGCACGTCTACATTGGCCACGGACGCTTTTCTGGAAAAAGGGCTTTTCCGGAAAAGCATCCTGCCAATGTAGATGGTCTTTTTCCGGAAATACTTATAATGGAAAACTGTTCCGTTTTCAGCATTTCCGGAAAATCATGCCAGTGTAGACGTAGCCCTAATGTTTAACCAGCTGCTGATTAACTGGGATCTTGCATCCCTAGTGTGTGGGGCTAATTCGCAGGCTGCCAGGGTGAACGCGAATCGCCAGCGGCCGTTACTGGCCGGGGGCTGTCCAAGTCGCTCGTGTGGCAGATTTCAGCCATTTCCCAGCAAGGAGAAGCCTGACGCCCTTGTCGAGAAGCGACACGACTGTGCAAAGGCGAAGAACACGCCGAGGGCCTCAGCAATGCTACTTGGAAGCAGAGCGATCGGCTGCCCCAGGTTACGCTGCCGTGGGCCCCCAGAGCAGCGCTGCTGAGGAACAGACCAGCCAGGCTGAGCTGTGGACTCCTGGGCTAGATACGATGGACAAACTGGCTCCTTCCTTCCCTTGCCAATATCTACGGAGCACTGCGCTCACCAGCCAGCTGCCCGGATCCCACCTTCCCTCGGAGATCCCAGGCAGCGGCAGGTGCAGGGGCCCTGGCAACCGCCCTGCCCTCCAGGAAGCGGTTAGCGCCAGGAGTATCTACGGGGAGGCCTGGGGGCTAAGGGCAGGCAGGTTTCACCCCCTGCGGAGCTTTGAACACACTCCCCTGAGCAAACCTGTGTGCGCGTCCCTTCCAGGCGCCCGGCCCCGAGCGAGCCCCCTACCTTCTCATGAGGAGCTCCAGGTCTGCCTCCTCCACAGTCTTCCTCCCCGCGTGGCTGGTGTAAGCCTCCAGGTCCTTGCAGAGCTGCCCGAAGTACACCTCCACGCTGGCCGAGAGAGGGGAGGAGTCAGCCAGACAGGGGCGGGGCAAGCCCCATGGCAGCCAATCACAGCACAGGCACAGGGCCGAGGGGCCCCTCCCACGGGCAGTCGGGGAGCTTGAGCGGTGGGACTGGCAGAGTACACGGCTCTCCCGGGTGTCCTGCACCTCCCAAAGCCCGTCCCGTCCCCACGCCCACGCTCCGCAGCCCGGTGCCTGCCAGCCGAAGGGGCTGGGGAGCCCTCGGCACCGCTACGAGCAAGACAGACCCCAAGTACCACAGAGGCGGCTGGTTTACAAGGAGGTGCCAGGCCCCCACCCAAAGGCCCCTGCACCGCGGCGTGGGGCACTGAGCTCCGCACCAGCCCACGGCTGCGCTAAGAGTTTGCTCCCTCTCGCCCAGGGCCTTCTGCCCCGTTGCCCCTACTCAGCCGCCCCTTCCCATCTCAGCTCGAAAGGGCTACAGCCTGGCGGCCTGGGGCACCCAACGGGGGCTGCTGCGCATCACCACTTCTCAACCACCGTAACGGCCTCGCTGGCCACGCGC